TATTCTTTTTTGCATAATAACTTAAGGTCAACTTCTCCTTTTTACTTCCTAACGTTAACTCTGGAGTTACAGTACTTATCTATAGATCTATTCCTTTAATGATTAGATGAAATCGATACTTAAACATTATCATATTTATGTATCACTTATATCTTTTCTAAAAATAGTTCATATGATAATTGCTATGGGTCATTCATTATACTTAGTTTGTTCTAATCTGATTTGAGCCAGCTATTTTCTAATTATTTTGTCTATTATTGTCGTAAGTTTGACTTATTTTGTGTATGTCTCATCATTAGAGTTGTCATTTGCAGTATGCATACACTTAGACAACTCAATTTGAGGATCTATTATAAGCATTTCCATTACAAATACAAAAAAAATATTTTGACTAATAGTTGATCTTGATGTAGATCATACTATATTGACATCACTACCCCAAATATTTTTAATTTTAATCAATCCTTCATACGATATCTTTTAATAACTTTACTATGCCGTTGACTATACATTTTTTTGCCTTAATAGCACTAAACTATTTATCATGATACTAGATCATAGACCTTGTCAAGATAAAAATACATGCCAAGATTTTTAATTTATTCTCTGTATTTTTTTACCTTCATGAATTTCTTGTGTTCTTTATTTTTGTGACCTGGAGGGCAGCTATCAAAGATCATTTATTTACTTCGAATTGTTTATTTAGTATCTCTATATGGATTTGATAGGCAAATGAGACTAGCAGTGACCCAATGCTTATTCTCGAGTATTTTCATGGAGAAAATCAGAATATGCCATTTCAAATCATTATGATCGCCACTGTGTCTGGGAGGAAGTTGATCAAAACAAACGCTTGAATAAGTACAATCACAGTGCCATTGATGAGCAGTTTCAGTATTATCAATCTGATGGTCTCGTCAAGTTAATGAATCAGCCTCGAGTGCTCCTCTTCCAAGTTGTATGTGGTATTTCGCTTTATCCTTATTGGAATTATTTCCCATTGATCTTCCACTGATTGAGTTTTCATTATTGTTTTTCTAGATGTTCAGAGGGTTCCTTTATTGTGCGCGCTCATACACCATGTTCCAATTTGTTTTCTGTCCTTTGGTTCACTGAAGTTGATCGTTTCACATCACGTGATTCAGTGAGCTTGCGTACACTTTCTTGAAGTTGAGGAAGAATGAATCCTGGAAAACCGTTTTCTCTGAACATGTTCAAGGTAAGTTGTATGCCTTGTATGCGTCTTTGTAAGCTTTAATGACTGATATGGAGAAGAGTTTGGGTCATGGTCTCAGACGCTCCTACAACAACAACAACAATCCTTTATCCTACTATGGGGGTTCGGCTACATGATCATTTTTTTCTATGTTTTCATGTTTAAGAGTCAAATTCTCATCTAAATCTAATAAAGAAAGGTCATTATAATATTTTTTAATCAAGTCTTTTTAGTTCTATCTCTACCTTTCTTAACATAAAGTCAAGTCTAATACATCTACTTTCCCTAACGGGATCATTAGAAGCCGCGTTTTTTTGTATGAAACAAACCATCTAAGGCGGCTCTCTCCTAATCTTTATATTCGGCTGAAGCTATTCCAACCTTTTCATGTATATGCTCATTTCGTATCCTATCTCTAGAGGTAAAGTCACTCATCCACCTAAACATCCTCATCTCAACAACACTTAACTTAATTTATGCTTCTCTTTTAATGGCCAACATTCTGCACACACAAAGCGTTGCAGTCTCAGAGATCCTACTTCCCTAAATTTAATCAACAAGGACCACTTGCGGAATGCAATGTTCGCTCCGGAAGAGTGGATTGTTTCTTCTTCCATAGATGCATATTCTATTTTTCATCACTAATGTTATTAATGCATTTTATTGGATTCTATTATCTCATTATTTGACTTGAGTACTAGAAGTAGTTTTGCTCTAACATCCGTTTTACATAAAATTTCTACTTCATTTTCCTTTGTTTTTAATAAAATGTAACACTGAGAGTGTGTTCGGTATTGTTATCCTCATCTACTGAATGGGAGGCTGGGGCTCGACTCTAAAAAACATAAATGTTCAGAAAACGGTTCATGAAATAAATGATGGTTCACAATACATCTTCTTACCAACTTTATTTAGGAAAATATTCGGAATTAGATTTCTTCAAATAACTGAACTCATTACCTACCTCGTCCCCTCTTACCTCTTGCTTGATTTGATTCTTAACATCATATGTTGTTAGACCAACCGCTGGTCCATACGGGACCGGCCCTGGCGAAATAGAGGTGGAAGTCTCGCCTCCTGTACGTGATGAATCAAGACCGCCCAATTCAGAGGAATTGATTAGGAAGATTTTAGGAGAAGTTTTGGAGGGAAAATTTGAATGTATGGACTATTTTAGAATTTCCTTTTGAATTGTATGCATTAAAATAGTTTGTTTTCCTAGGGTTAGGCATCTTGAATTGACTGAAATTTGAAATCTCTTAGTTTCTTTGGACTCTAGCGGCATCTAGAGATTTGGGAGAGATAAATCCTCCCTCGAATAGAGGATCAATTTTATCTTAGTATTTTCCGTTTCTATTTCATCAAATAATACAAATTACCTACTGTTTTCCGGGGAATTTTGTGGAGAATTCTCGCTGTTTTCCAAGATTCGCTAAGAAAATTTCTCAAGATCTTCAATCGTTACCTATCAAATGCCTAATCATTTATAACAAATAATATCTCTCTAAGTGAAAGTATTTTTTTTCATTGGCTGGGGTGCTCTATTGAATTAGAAAGTACAGTATGAACTTGTTTTTGATCAGCTATATTTTATTTCTTATTCTTGCCATTGTTATCACCTATCCTATCCGATGTTGGACAAATGTCTGTTTCTAATCTTAAAGTCCATCCATCATTAATCCCAATTAGTCCCCTTAAAGGAAATTACTGATTAAATTAATAGATTAGCAGATATGTTAATATTCACAGAATATGTGTTGCAGGACTGGAGAGGAGAGCTATGGTTAAGATATTCCACCATAGAGTGGAAAATACATCCTCTCCAGGTATTTGACAATTTTGTAGAATCATCAGGTATGAAATATCTATAAAGCTCTGACAAACTTCTGCATTTATTATGGGCAACTTCCATTGCTGAATCAATCAGAAATGCTATTTCCCCTTGCTGCTACTTTGTACTACTATATTTTTGTAGCCTAAATATTTCAATGGCCTGATTAATATTATTTCATTCTTTCAACCTGTTCATACTTGTGACATTTAGTTTCTTTTTTTTTTCAATTGTTATATTGATTTGATCTTAATGAACACGATCAATAATGACTAGGGGGTTCAATTCGGGTCAACGGGTCGGGTTCGGGTCGAACCGGAACTGACCCGGCACTATTTCGGATCAACCGAACCCACCCGTTTTAAAGGTCAGATTTCCGACCACCCGACCGATTCTGGTCCGGGTCAACCCGATCCGACACGAATGACCCGAAGTTGACCTAAAATTGCTAGTTTTCGGGTCAAAATCGGGTCAATCTTCGATTTTCGGGTCAACGGGTCAATCTCGGGTTTCCGGGTCAAATAGGAGTTTTTGTGTCATTTTCAGGGTTGCTGGGTCAACTCAACCCGACCCGATTTTTAAAACGGGTTGATTTGTTGAACCCGACTTGTTTCGGATCCGGGTTGACCCTAACCCGGATTTTTCTGGGTCAGGTTCGAGTCGTGTCAAAAATTGACACCCCTATAATGGACAACCAATTTTGACTATTCAGATATGGATTGCAATGTGAATAGACTGACAATAATGAATAGCCAATTTCTAATATGTAAATTTTTTAAGTAGGAAAGTTATCATCATATTGAGATTTTGAAGCGATCGGGGTTAGGTGAGAGAGTCGAGCCGGCTTGAGCTTTACTATTTAACTAGCGTGCAAGTCGGGCTTATCGAGCCTCAAATTCGAGCTTGTGTATTAAACGAGCTCGAGCTCAGCCTGACTTGGCTGGAAAGCTCGATGAGCCGCTCGATTAACTTAAATTTTATTTAAAATTAATTTAAATTACTTTTTTTATAATATATTTTAATATTTTAAAAATATTGCTTTTTCTTTTTACTTTTATTTTATGTGTTTTATTATTAAATAAAAAATATATATGTAATAGCCTAAAATCTATTATTTACAATTTAATTGAATATTGCATAAGATTGATGGCGGTTGGTTTCGTTTGGGACTATTTTTTTATTGTTTTTTAAAGCAATTTTTAATTATAAAAATTTTAACTTTGTATTAGAAAATTGCTTTAAGAAGTGATAAGAAAGATGTCCAAATGAAACATTTATTATTAATCAGGTGATTTTTCAAAAGTGGCCATAGGATCGATGCATGTGAAATTGCTAATGGGATCAGTGGCGTGTGACAACGCAATGAGATTTGGACGCCATGACGAGCTTAGTGGTATTTTATTCATATATAAAATTTTAAGTATTATGTGACTAAATAATTAATTTTTCATTAATTTGTCAATTAAAAAAATTTGAGTGCTATCTACGGGAATCCCTATTAAATTAAAAAAAAAACTTTAAAAAATATATAAGAATTATTTTGAGTATTTAAAAAAAAACATGAATAAATTTAGTTTATGTTTTAGAAGTAAAATAAAAAGTAATCTGAAACAATCCCTTAGACATTTAAAACAAAATTTTTAGTATAATAAAATTAAAGTCATTAAATTTACTTTAAAATTAGTGTAATATAAATATTAATCTATTATTCGTATACTGATTGTCTAAATAAACTAATTTTAAAATCTATAATAAGCAATTTTTAATTAGATATTATTGTAAAAAAAACTTTCCACACATTAATAGTTTTGTATATTTATTATCATTTGGCAGGCCTTCCATCCAAATCAGAGTGGCGCAGCGGAAGCGTGGTGGACCCATAACCCACAGGTCCCAGGATCGAAACCTGGCTCTGATATTGCGTCAGCTTCCCGCGATCATATCTTTTTTGGTTTTTGCAATTTGCAATTTTCAAATAAAGTGGTTAGATTCCGCCTTTCTGAGCTTCGGGAGACTTCAATATCTTTCAACTCATAATTCATAAGCGCCAATCCCATTTTCTTTTAGCTCTTCTAAAAAACCTCTCCTCTTCAGCTGGTAAAGAAAATCATTTCTTAATTTGCGCTCTTCATTTTTCAGTTCCTCAGTCAGTTATATTGTGAAAAGTCGCGTTTTTTCTTCATATATTTAATTTATATTATTTTTTGGATATAAGTAATATTTTTCATGGTGTTCTTTTCACATCTAGGGTTTTGGTTTGGAAACTTCTCAGGTTTTCCATGCAATTAGGATTTTTTCTCATAATTTGGCGAATCGATATTGATATAATCTTGACACTCTTTTATTTTTTGTTCGGGTTTGTGAGAAATTGTAGCAATTGACGATCATTTGAGGCAGAAGGTGTAGGATGCCGGCTGATGAAAGTATCCCGAGGCCTCTGTTTGGGGGTGCTGTATCCACCTCGTTTCCTATGAGATTCCAGGTTGAATTTCTTTTGCTTTTTCATACACAGGAAAAAGCTTCGCCCAGCTTGAGATATAATTTTGATGATTTTTTTTTTAACAACAGGATGTGAGCAACATACAAGTAGTTCCGAATCACCAGGTTTTCTTAATGACTCTAAAATTTTTCCCACTTATTCTTGCTTTTTTAAATATCCAAAGCAGTAATGTTCTTTTTTAATTGTTTTAAGGAAGTTTTTGTTGATCCAAGCCGGGATGAGAGTATTATTATCGAGCTGTTGGATTTTAAGCATGATGTTGAAGATAATGGCAGTGCTGTGTGGTTTCTACGCGATCTTGCTAGCGAACAAGATGCAGAACAAAGCACGGTATGTTCTGTGAGCTTGATTGTTCTCGAATCTTGGTCAAATTATGAAGTAGGTTTTTGCGTATTAAAAAACTGCGCGTTTCTGAGGGTGGATTTTTTTAAAGCAGATTTTATGCCCATATTTTTCTAAATTTATATTTGGAAAAACTTGAGCATTATTCCAGTTTGGCATGATTCATGCATTATTATTAGGCTAAATTTTTGTTTGAAAGGATTTGGACATCATATAAACTAAGATACGGAAAACACTTTCAAAATTATATTTAGGTAATGCATATTATTTTGAATTAAAAAACTGCATGTTTCTTGTGTTTTGTTTGGAATGGCTTTCTTATTGCTTTTTAAAGCAGTTTTTTAGTACAAAAATTTTTTAAACTAAAAAAATTTGTATTAAAAAATCTGTTTCATAAAACAGTAAGAAAGTCATCCCAAACGAAGCGTTAGTCTAATGTTTTTAAGCAGAGTTGAAGTTCATCTTTCTAAATTTAAGTTTTGGAAAACTGGGGCATTATTCCAGTTTGCCAGGGATCAGGTATTATTATAGATAAAATTCTAATTTAACAGGACGCCGGCATCATATGAACAAAGGTCTGTAAATTACTTTCTAAATTATCATTAGAAGGTTTCTGTCTCAATGTTACGTAGCATGAATGCGGGATGTCTATTTCCCTTTTTTTCCCCAGAAAAGTAGTCCTATCAAAAGACTTGTGGCCTATTGGTTGAAAGAGATGATTGCATCTCCAATGTCATGGATACTGAATCGAAGATAGATTGGCTACAGCGCTACATTGCCTATGTGTTGGACACTAAAGAAGTTGCTAATAGCCAAGTCAAACGTGGCCTCTTTAAGAATGTTAAGATTGATATTTGGAAGAATTATGAAGGATACATTGAATTCTGTTATTTGTGCCTGGTTTCTCAAATATATAACTGAAAAAAAAAAAAAGTGAGATAGCCACAAAAAGCCCAAACTCACTTTAAATTCCCTCTCAACACACGTTCCTGTACAAGACATATAAATGACTTCAAAGGTTGGAAGCTCAAGTTTCTCACCAAATGCCCCCTCTTCTAAGCTGCTTCCCTCCTCTTAATTTCTTGAGCTTGATTCATCTGGGGCTTGAATAGGAGGTCTTGATAACTCTATCTGGGCACCAGTACATGTTCTATAGAGTATTTCTTTAGATTCATATGGAATATGATATTTTTCTTGGCGGCTGCATGTCTTACCTTCTGATTGCTAATAGTCTATCATATTCAATACTAATTTGGAAATGATTCTGAGTTCAAAATATTTGGTACTGCTGGATATTTCTACTATCTAAATTAGTATTAATGATACTGTATCAATTTCTTGTCAATTTTTTGGATTGATGATTTTATATCAATGGCAACTTACAAAATTATTAATTTGGACTGATTTTCATGTCCTTTCTGTTGAGTCTACTAAGACTTTTTAACATTTGAGGTTCTTTCAAACATACACAAGCTTTATATGGCAAGTCTGCATTTCATGCATTCAGTTAAATACTTCTTTAAAATTAACCTGTATGTAGTCACTTCTGATGACCTGGTTAGGAAAGTAGATTAATTAGATTTGACTTATGTTGAGAAAGATAGAGATAGGCCTAAAAAGAATTGGTTAGAAAATATTAGAAATGACCTTTCTTTTTTAGATTTAAATGAGAATTTGATTCTTAACAGGACACAATAGAGAAAAAAGATTCATATAACCGACCCCACGTAATGGGATAAAGGCTTGATGTTGTTGTAGTCACTTCTAGTTTTATTCATTTTCATTCAGTCAGTTATATTTCCATCCTCATACTTCTCAGGCTCATTGATTTATTTTCTTTTTATTTTCATTTCCATAGCTATTTGAGCAATCTGGTACTATTGAAGCAGTTGGCTTGCGCTACAGAGATGTACCATCAGTTGTCACAACAGCAGTTGGTCAGATGGTGATTATTTTTTCCAAATTTATTTTCCAATATGTCACCAAATGCTGGAATAACAAAGCTTTGTATCTTTACGTGTTTCTGCTTTTAGTTTCTCAATGCCATCCATATCATGCTTAGTATTTAAATAGTTTCTCAAGTTATATGTTGTTGGTAGCTGTCTTATTGAGCAATGGGCCAAAGAATTCTGGCTTTATTCATGAATTCAGTTAGTGTGTACTGGCTAGTTGGTTTGTTAACATCTTGGTTTTTAATGTTATCTTAATAGGGCTTATGCAACTTGTTTAATTAGCTGAAATAAAGTTTTTAGTTATTGAGATATTAGTTTAACCTAAAATAATTCATAATCATCATTATTAGTCTTAACCCGAGAAAATTACTCTCTAGAATTCTTGATGTCTATTAAATTAGCCAACATTTAGCCCAAATAATGTAGAAAAAAGGAAGATTAGAGTCATGATGATCACACAAGGCAGCGCAACCTTCTGTTAAGAAATAATAATAAACCAATGAAGTAATAATTAATAGATTGCTTTGACATTCAGATAGCACTGCATTCTAGATGATACTAACATTTGAAAAAAGAACTTGCATTCATTTGAAATTGTCGTATTCATGTCCTAAATTCCATTAGCCCCCAGTAGTCAGTAAAATACACAGATTAAGCTATTGATGATGCTTATATATAATTCTCACTTTTGCCAAATTTTTACTTTCTGGGAGTTTATTGACCAGGATCGGCTATATAATCTTAGAAGTTTCAGCACTAGTTATTTTTTAGTTAGATCTATAAATAAGTTGAGCCAGGTCAAGCACTATCATGTCTAAACTTGTTCATTTATTTACTCATGGTGCTTGAACCAATTCAATATGACTAGTATTAAAATTAGGTTCAAGCTTATCTATTTACCATAATTGCGTTCGAGCCAAAATTAACTTTAATCTAGCTAGTGATTTAAACATACATTCTCATTACCAAAAATAAATCCAATCATAGTTATATTCAAGAAACCTGATAAAACCTATTAATGGTGATCTGATATGTTTCTGATCTTATGAAATGCAAGTATAATGAAACAAAAATGTTAAAAATGAGATTAAAGTATCCAATGATCTTCTGAACACAAACTTCTATTATATTTAACCTCTATTAATATACATAATTTCATGTGCACCTGATGGAAACAAATTTGATATGAGAACATGAAATGAATTATTACTAAGACACTTAACAAGCATTAAATGAGCGGCAAGTCGCCAACCAATGAGCATGTTCACAAACATGGATGAATGTATGGTTCAATGAGATTCATTTATATGTCAAGCTTCATACATCATCCTCAACAATGTCCTTTCAAATATAAATGACCATTAAATTTTTCAAAATTTTCATTGAGTTTAATCAGGTGGCTTACTGATTGCTTGAATTAATGATTATGAAGAAATGGAAAACCTAAGGTAGATTATTATATTAACTCTTAAGACATTTGGGTGTGTATTTTAGTTTATTAGACTAGCTGGGCATTAAAATCTTGCAAAATAGTTTGTGCTTACCCATCATATTTTCATTGAGCCAACTTTTGGCTATCGAAGAATCGTTGTGGTCTTCTAAGTTATTTTATCTAACTTGATGATAAGATATTGGTTTATAACTGACAACGCATTGAATGCATGTGTCAACATGTGTTAGAAGACACTACCTTCCTTGATAATCTTTATGGATATTGCCTAGGGTGAAAGAATTTCCTATTCAGATAACTGGGAATTAAAATGAAAAAAGAATAGCTTGCGCTTGTTAATGTTGTTCTTCTTGTACATCAACAACCACTCCGCAAACTCTAAGTTAGCAGGAGCTCCCTGCACTGGGTGTGCCCCTTTTTGTGGTGTTATTATACATTTACACAGTTCAAAACATAGCTTTTGTTTTCTTTTTCTTAGTGAAATTGATGAGGTGCATAGCCGTTCTTTTTTTTTTTTTGCATTTACATAGTTAGGAAGATAGGTTTAGCTTTCTTTCTTGTTGAAGTCGATAAAGCCTACTATACCAAATCAATGTATACTTGGGCTGCAAAAACAAACTATAACATGTATTTCTTATGGCCTTCTTGTTTCAAAGCCCTAAATTCTCTGAACTGACCCTGCTTTGTTTGTTTATTTTTCTTAGGCTGTTTCTAAGGGAAGACAAGGAAGGGAGGCTCAAAATATAGTGAGGGTAAAGCTGATCTACTACTTCTGCAATTATGTAATGCTAGGGGACCTTAGGGCTTAATAATTATGGAAGGATTACCCTTTTTTCTTCAGGTATATCTTGCAAATTTGCGCCTTAAGGGGGTTGCAACTGATGTGCTGATCACTGCCTATGAGCCTGTTTTCATTAAGTGAGTCTTAAGCATCTATCTTTTTGTATAACTTAATAGAATCAAACTTAGCATGATGTATTTAAATTCTATTTCATCTTGATTTGGACCTCGGTTTGTTGATGAATTTCTATTTTTTTTTTTTCAAGAAAGAAGGAAGACTCGTAAAAACCTAGGGCTCTGATGCCAAATTGGTGCAATAAAAAAAATTAAAGATTGCAAAGAATAAAATCTTTTTTTTTTTAAACTTAAATATAAACTCAAGATCACAACTTAAAAGACATTTTTTATAGATAAACACTAAACATGACTTATCGATGCGGCTAACCCCTTAAACTTACAAAATTTTCAAGAACATAGATACAGATGGGGCGGGAATCATGGATAGAAAAGAAGAGATAGAAGACTGAGACGAAATAATAGAGGGGAAGGGAAAAGGAGGCTAGCTCGCAAGCTAGCGCACATTTTACCTTCCACAAATTATCACTCAAAAACTTCTTTTTCCAGCAGAAAAATAGCCACTATATATAGGAAAATAAAGGAGAAGAGTAATTAATCCAAGAAATTAAGGCACCGCACATTTAACCAATAGAAATTTCTTAAAAAAAAATAACAGAAAACAGGGACCGAAAGGGTAGCAACCAAAAGGGGGGGGGGGGGGGACCCGAAACTTTGCCTACATCAATCTCTATAATGTAGAATCGCCCATACGAACTCACCGTCGATCCTTCCACAACCCCTCTATTTGTCACGCCTTCTACACGTGATAAGTTGCGCCTACTTGTTCGCATTTGCCCCTGCTAGATTAGAGAAGATGAGCTGACCTTCTCTTAAAAAGGGCAGTTCATACCAGCTTCAGCTTTTACATTTGGGGTGTGTGCACTTTAATTAGATACTGAGCATCAGATATGGGATGTTTATTTCCTTGTTTAATTTGCCATACATTCTCATGTCCTGGAACCAACCATGAACGATTTTCTCGTGTTTGCTGGTTGTCAAAGTTGCAGCAATTACATATATATACAAACTGCTTCTTGATTAGTTTGGACTATGGTCAGATATCATTACAACCCAATATATAAATTCGACCTATTACGCTTGCTAGTAATCCATCTGTGGCTGTATGTTATGTTATTAGCATTGTAACATGGCTGCTAACTAACCAGATACAGGTTAAACGCGTATTTTTCATTGACACTTTCAAGACCAGGCAGAACAATAGAAAGTTCACCTTCTTTCTCTTTATATCACATCAAAAAATGTGTTGGTGGAGTTTATCTAAATAAAACTTTTTCCCAAACAAATTTGATGCATTTCTAGTTGATTTTGGAGCTTATAATTTCTGAGGTCTAGTTGCAATGCTGCTTTCTCCTCACATTGTATTTGCGTTGTCTTTTGAGTATTATATAGGCTTCGATTGGGACGACTTTCTTATTGCTTCTTAAAGCTGCTTTCTAATAAAAAATTAAAAAAATTATAAGTTCAAATAATTGCTTCGCATACACCTCGATGATTCAAAGATGGTTTATATTCTTTGTTTGTTGACTGTAGCCCATTGAGTGCAAGTGCAAGGGCCGTGGGAGCTGGTCCAGCTGTTCCTGCAACAGATTCAGGATGCCTTCCAATGGCAGAAGTCTTTAAAAATGCTGTCACAAGCTTCACCGTCCATGACTGGAATCTTTTTGGTGTAGTTTCCTAAGATAAATTGAACTATTATGTACATTTTTTCAGTTTTGGCAGCCTTCAGAACTCTTTTCTTCTTGAAACTTGCTGAAGAAGGCATGTTACTATTGTTGAAGGACTCTTTTCTTCTTGAAACTTGCTGAAGAAGGCATGTTACTGTTGTGAATCCGCGAAGGTGTTGGTTGGGAGCTTTGGCTACCAACCAAAAGTTTCCGGACCAGGGTCTTGCGAATGTGTTGTGTGCGTGAATATGTCTTAATTAGTCTGAATGTTGAAAGATTTTGTAACAAAATACCTAAACATAAGCACCTGTAAGCTTTAAATTGAGTTGCAAGGGTTCTTTCACCTATTGTGCATATCACAAATGATCTAAGAGCTTGGACCTAAAGGCTTCCACACACAACTGCTTAGTATTTTATTTGAGCTTGTAGGGCTACTTATACCTTTGCACATTGCAAACAATGGAAATATTTATACTAAAATGGTTCTGCATGATAAGAGCAACTATAAATTTGAGTTTTTATGATTGCATGCATTTGTGTGCAATACAAAATATTGAAATAAAACAAATAATATAAGATGGCAAGTAACTATAACAAGTTTTTTTTGCACTATATTATATACAAAATATTCATAGAATGATTAATATGTTTAGGGGTATATGTGTAAAACTTTGAAATGCTTGGAACTTTAACTTCAAACTAACTCTCAAAGTCATTAAGAAATTCAAGAATTTGCTAAATAATAATCTTAAAATGTTTTACATCAATAAATAACAAGTGTTGGATAAATTTAAATTTTCAAGTTTCATTGAGGAAGTGTTAAATGAAAATATCTTGAAAAATATTTTAGAAGTTTATAATTTATCATGAAAAATATTTACAAATTTTTGAAGAATAATTTTTAAAAAATTCTTAAGGGTTAAATTTGAAATAATATAATTTCAGAAATCTTCAAATGTAAGGTTCAATTGGGTTAACTATTTCACAACTTTATTTTCTAAATAACTATTATTGTATTTTAGAAACTTCTGTGGAAAGAAGTAATTTTTAAAAATAAAAATTTTAATGTATGATTAAAGCAACTTAATTGAGTATAATTATCAATGTATACTTGAGTTGAAAATTTTTAAAATCAAATTCAAAATCATATGAATTCTAATTTTATTAAATTTATAGTCAAACTAAATGCTTCCACGAGACGAACCCATTGACACAAAAAGTGATTTATTTGAGTCTGAACGACCAAATCAAGCACTTGAAATATAATCAGAAATTTTAGAATATTAATTATGGGAACATACAGCCCCCAAATCTCACATACTTGTGGTCAAATTGAGCTTCTCAATGAGTCAAATTTAACAATCCCAAAATCACTTAATTTCGATATCATTAAGCATTTAATTGGTGAGAGAATAATCTTTGACCGTGAGAATCATTTCAGAATGTTTGATGAAGTTTTTCAAATTTTGATTATATTTACAGATACTATCACTCTCAAAAATTATAAATTAACCACAATTCTTTATATAAAGGGGATAATTGGCTTAATTTTCAAGTGTGATTGGAGGTTTAAAGAATCTCGGAGTTCCATTAGACCAACGTTGTCCGAACATAATCATTCGACTACCACTAACCGACTAGTGTTATTGGACCATCAACATCAGACATTATAGTTCGGTCATTACCATAAGTTTACCACTACCATCGTCTGACCATCATTGTTAGACCACCATCATCCAACCACAATTATTGAACTACCACCATTCGACCTCCGTGCTCCAGGACTATGGTTCCCCAACGACCATTATTTAACTATGGCTCTTTAATTACTTTCCTTCAGCTTTTGACAACTATTGCCTAACTACATAATTCTAACCACCATTACTTGACTATGATCTTATGACTATTGTTCCCCAACTATGATCATCTAACTATCATTGTCTGACCATAATCCTCTGACCACCATTGCCCAAGCACAATCATTCAACCACCATTGCTTATCAGCTTTGTTGTTTGATGTCGCCTATAATATAGACGCATGCCATCACCTATAAAGTAGATGCACATCATTGACACTAATGCATATGCTTATTGACTTTATCAGTCATTGTCACCAACAAAGTCAATGCACAACATCTCCTATAAGGTCCATGGGCAGCGTCGCCAACAATTCTTATTCCTCATGTATATGCTTATTGACTTAGTCAGTTGTTGTCGCCAATAAAATCAACGCACAATATCTCCTATAAGGTCCATGCATGTCATCACTAACAATTCTGACTCATGATGTCAATATCAACATTTATACTTGACTTTTTGACCTCTAGTCTCTTTTCTTCAATGAAAAGTGATTGTACAAATAACAAATGATATTGATATCTTGAAGATATCTTCAACACCACTAGTCGCTTCCAATTTATACAACGAAATCTATTATCCAGAGTTCATGTATACTACATTGTATCAATAACTTTTCAAATTATGAGTAAGAGTATCACTTGTAATTGATAACATATATTAATTGAATCATTTCAATTGGATCAAATTTTATTTTTTTTATATATTTTTCACGTAAAAATGCTGGTGTCTTGTGTAACTTTTTTAATCTATGTGTGTTAAAACTTCATATAATATTAGGATGTTAAGCTCTCCCTATCGTCATAAAATTTTTGGCATATTCCAAACCTACTTTTCAAAAATTAAAAAAAATATATAAAACTAATATCTGATTAAAGAAAAACTTCTTTAGTAATAATTATACAACTAGCGCTGCTCGAGCCATATTTTTATTAAGTTTTTATTTTATTTTATTTTTATTTTTTTTTAGGGCCTAAACCGTTAAACCGTTCGAAATGCCACCATGCAAAAGATCAAATGCCGAGGTTTACAAATTTCTTTGGCCAAGGGAAAGCCGCCTCAGCAGTGTGGATCATCTCCACCGTCGTCTTCTACCTCCTTTTCCGAGCAGTCATGGATAATTCCACATCCACAAACACAGGTAGTCACACTAATTTTTTGGTTTTTTTTTTCCTGCGAGTAGTGCTAGTTTGACAATCCGTGGGATCCGATACAGAGTCTTTAATGTCGAGTTCAGAAAGGCGGACTCGGTTATACAATGAGATGTCGAGGGACATTGATGAGCACGGGATGAAGTTTCTGCAAGGCGGAGAAACTTCACAATCGCTAATGCTCAACGATATATTTGAATTAAGGGGTGGATATGTGATTCCGAAGCCTAAGGTCTGTGGTAACTGGCTTGATATTCAACCACTTTTAGGGAAACGAAGTATTTTGATTTCTTCAGTTTTTGTGATGAGGATTTGAAGTGCTTTTTGGCATTTTAGGCTGCAGATCCTCCTGTTAGGGCAAATGTTCTTTACCTGAGCCCAGAATTTTCGAACCCTATCTCGTAAGTTTATAAAATTGATTTTGTGTACTGTTTTGACTATGTCACTCATCTAATCTTCCCGTAGGAGTTGGTAAACTAGTCATTGGCTGTTTGAAGGGTAGAAAATGTTTTGACGCAAGTATCAATTGTGAAAATTTTGGCATTAAATGTGTCGAAAACGTATTTGACTCATATATTAGCCTACATCAGTATGCAATATGTCTCATCATGCAATCTTTTATGCTCTAGTTCTAGTTTTCTAGAATAAGTTTTGGAGAATCTTCAGTGACCTTATTATCCAAAACTCCTCACATAATCTATGTGGTTACAACATTAACTTACTTCAGCCTTTTACTTTTACAGCTACAAGTAAAGCAGAACTACCTTATAGATTGATGTCTATACCATCATCATGGGATGAAAATGCTATAGATGATGGATGCATACTCCTGTTGGAATAAAAGGAAAAAATACAGACCACTTTTACTTGCAAGCATACATTATTCTGATTGCACTGTAGTTAAGATGCATGTTGCATTTTTTGGATCGTTTCATAGCAAGCTAGGTCAATCAAGTCATACAGCAGTTTATCATAATTGTAGTTTCCCTGATCTGATATGTTTGTTCATCATTAGATTAGTGCTGTATGAATCCCATGACTAGCATGATGACATATCCATGACCCTATAAGTGTTGTGAACATAAGCCATTAACAATGCATGCTCACCTCTCAAAGTCAATAGGTTTCCGAAAATCCTGATTATAAGATGGGGCTCAGAGGCAGACTAAAACCATTGGCTTATGCAAATATTTAAAATGTGTCTTCAACATCACTCAAAATGCTGAGCATTAAAGTTGTAGAGAATCAAGTGACAAGTATATGAGATAAATATTATGTATTTCTTTAAAAAATCTAGAAAGAGAAGCTATAAATACTAAGGAGGGTAAGAGGGGTTCCAAGATTAGGGCTTGGAGTTTCAAGAGGAAACCATGAATTTAAGTATGGAGAAAGAGGGAATCCAAATTTAGGAGAGAGTTAGGAGTAACCATCAATCATGTATTAAAACTATTAAAACAATGGAAAATGGTCTTTAGAGGAATGATTAATTGCTTCAAAGTTCTTGTTCATTGCGTTAATGTATTCTGATACGATCTCGTATTTGTAGCCTCTCCTTAGGAAATTTGAGAAACCATGGTTAATGCTTTGGTGTAACCGCTGACCTATTCTTTTTGGTATCAGGCATTCTAGGCCACTACCGTGTTCCTTTCAATTTAAGTGAATATAAGAAGTTGGTTATATCACTTTCGAACTGAGTAAGACTCTCTAGTAAATATGTTTTTGTATGTTAAGTTTGATTAAAAGTACTTATCACTATGTCTCTTATATTAAGTTTCTTTCATTCCCTCTACAATTTTTGTTTTTGTTGTGAATAAATTTTTTCAGGTATTAAAACAATGGAAAATCCTAAGGCAATCATATGAACAATGGCTATTCTTCTTAAATTTAATGTCCTCATTTTGCAACAAAGTTTTAAAAGGCTTATGTAGACCATGAGGCTTCCCGTGAATGCTTGGTCTTGGGAGGGATTGATTTACATAGTTATACTTCTCTATTGCAGAGAGGCTGTCTATATCACACAATAGAGGCCACATATCTGTCACCCCAAGCCCATCTCCCGACGTAGTTTTATAGATGCATGTAAAACTTATTTTGTTTTTTTTTTTTTCTCTAAATTTAGATTATGCTGATTACACCACTTCTTCCCTATTTTGATTCTTTTTCAATTTATTTACCGTCTTCCTTGCACTTCCGAGTTCTAAACATGCATGTAAATCTGTTTTATTCTTTTTCCTTGTATGGCTTACTGCAGGAAGGCTGTAAGGGATATCTTTCTTCCCTATTTTGACGGAGGTAAAGTTTTTTCGCTTTTTTTTTTTCTTTTTTTAACACTTACAGGATGATTTAGAATTTTATTGTTAAACACAACTCTGCTCTACTTTTTATCTACCTCATTGCTTAAAAGACTGCTCTTTCTTATGATTCAGGTTGACTAAAAATATGATGCACTGATGAATTTATTTTTCTTAATCAGCCATTTGGTTTCAGAATGCAAGCTTATACCACTTCAGCATGTTTCATGCCTCCCATCATCTAACATCTGTAAAGGCAACTGACGCTGAGGTATGTTGCATTTATTTAGTCTTCTCTTCCTAATTTTGTGATTTTCTTGTATTAATGTCTTCTCCTACTTTCTTGAGATTGAAGCTGAAGCTTCTGCTGTCAAAGAAGTTGCTCGGTCTCTTTGTCCTTTGAAAATTTTTCTGGATAGAGTGGTGTTGACATCAACTGGCGTGCTTTTAGGGTGCTGGCAGGTTCATACTATTTACTTCATTACTTATGTGCTGTTGTTATTCTATTTAAGCATCAACCATCATTGTCAAATGGTAAAGCCTACTTTTTCGTGTGTTTTGGGTTACGTGGTTAAATTTTTTTAAATGAGGACGCATTTTCTATGACTTTTACATTATAAATAATTTTTGCCACTATTACGAAATGTATTGAATGGCTCACAATGTTGGTCGGCTATCTAATTTTTTTCTCCTAAATTCTTACATATAAATTTTAACCTAGAATACTTACATGCATCCTATAGCCTCCTAATCATTTATCAGCAAATATAACCTATTAGAAATTGGCTCTGTTGTATGTTGTCCTGCATGATGTGATCTGTTGTTTAAGATTGTCGCAATATTTGAAAAGCAAATTATCTTGAATGTTCCTTTAAAGGTTAAAAACCCAGCTAACCAAAAATATTGTTAATTGGCTCGGTATTTTATGACCATAAAATAAACAACAATTGAAATTTTTGGTTGGGATTTAAAAGTGCATACGATTCTTAAAAACTATAAATTGACCCACATTGAAGGACCTTTATCTTGAGATTTAAAAATGCTCAGAGGCTTAAAAAATCTCAGAGCTCCATCAAATCACCACTTGACTACCGTCATTAAACCTCCAGCCGACCATTATCGTCAGACCACCGCCTAACCACAATCATCATACCACCGTTGCCTCCATCGTGGAACCACTGTTGTCCCCATCTTTGGAGTTGATGCCCAATTTACGATTATCATTGTCCAACTATGGTCCTCCTACTACAGTCGCTCGACTACGATCTTCTGGCCACTATTGCTCGACTACGGTCCTTCGACTATAGTCACTCGACTACAGTCTTCTGACCACCGTTGCTCGACTACGGTCCTCGGACTACCGTCGTTGGACTATGGTCCTTCAACCACCATCACTCGACTATGATCCTTCTACCACCATCACCCGACTACGATCCTTCAACCACCATCACCCGACTACGATCCTTCAACCACCATCATCCGACATTTGTCCTCCAACACAGTCACCATCATCTTTGAACTATAATCCTCTGACCACTATCACTCGACAACAATCCTTCAATTATTGTTGCATGAGTACGACCCTCTGATTGCCCGTTACCTAACATCAGTCCTCCTACTACTTTGCCCATCATCGGTCCTCCAACACCATCACGATCATTGCCCAACTATAGTCCGCAGAACATCGTCACTCGATTATGATTCTTTGACCACTGTTGTCCGACTATAGTCTTTTGACCACTATCGCCATTGTCGTCCGACTATAGTCCTCTGATCACCGTCGCCCGACTACGATCCTTGAATTATCATTACCCGATTATGGCCTCCTACAATCACTCGATTATGGTCCTTCAACCACCCTCTTCTAACTACAGCCCTTTAACCATTGTCTCCAATCTATAGCCCTTTGCCCATTATCACCTGACTATAGTCATCCGACCATCATTTCTCAAATATTGTCTTATGGCCATTGTAACTTTGAAGGGATGTTCATGTTAACTTGTCGGGATGCAAGTTCTTTTTTTCAATATTTTCTATATATTAATGACAGCCCTACTAACAACTATACTTCTCAAAACTTCCAACAAATATGGAGAATTTTTTTAATAGAGATTTAAAAGAATTTCGAACTCTATAGCCCCTAGTTGGACTTAAACAACTTGGATAGGGTCACAACCATGACCTTGAAAGCATAGTAATCACCTAAATATAGGCTAATTTCTACCTTTGATTTGGAATTTATGTTGCATTCACCTCATTCAAATCAAGGTACAATCGATCACATGAAGATTTAATTTGACATCTTCTGCATAGGTTAACATCATCAAGTATCGCTCAAATAAATAATCTTGGATAGCATGGTTTAAAATTGCGCAATATGAGGCTCGCCTTTGCGCAATTCTAGTAAAAAAACGCCTCGATGCTTACGCCTCGAGTTTTTTTTATGGAGCTTGCACCTCAACTTGGTTGAGGCCCGCCTTTAGGCCTGCCTCGCCTCATTGGCATCAGGCTTACGCTTCATGCTATATATATTAAAACTTACATAAATCTTGAAGTAAATGCCAGACATTGGACTCTATAGAAGAGGAGGAAGGGGAGAGAGCAGTTCATCATAATAATGATTCAAATGAAGAATCCTTTAGTGATGACAGTGCTGATGACTTATGAGTTCTTATGTGATATGTCATTGTTATTTATTTTTGAAAATTAAAATTATATTTTAATGAAAAGAATACTGAGATTTGGGAAAGATAGAATTTTGAGTTGAACTATATTTCATGTTGTCTTATTATTGGGATAGGACTTAAACAACTTGGATAGGGTCACAACCATGACCTTGAAAGCATAGTAATCACCTAAATATAGGCTAATTTCTACCTTTGATTTGGAATTTATGTTGCATTCATTTCATTCAAATCAAGGTACAATCGATCACATGAAGATTTAATTTAACATCTTCTGCATAGGTTAACATCATCAAGTAACACTCAAATAAATAATCTTGGATAGATAAAACATACTTGGTGGATTTCTTTCAATCTTTTCACACTTGTTAACGTCATTGAATAACACTCTAATAGACAATCTTGGATATGTTAGACATTTTGAGTAAGTTTCTATTGGTCTTTTTCACACAGATTAATGTCCTCGAGTAACATTTCAACAAATAATTTCAGACAGATCAAGCATTTTTGGTGGATTTCCCTCAATCGTTTTCACATAAATTAATATCATTGAGTAGCACTTAGACAAATAACCTCGGATAGATAAACAATTATTGGTGGATTTCTCTTAATCTCTTTCACCTAGGTTAATATCATCGAGTAATACGCTAACAAATAACTTTGGATTGGTTACAAATTCCTTTTTGATTTTTTTTTTTTATATCTTTCACAAAGGTTAATGTTATTTAATAATACTTTGACAAACAATCTTGATTAGATCAAACATCTTTAGTAGATTTTTCTAGACCTCTTTCATAGAGGTTAGCATTCTCGAGTAATACTCTAACAACTAATCTTGAATAAATCAAAAAATCAGTGTATTTCTCTCAACATCTTATATGCAAGTTAATGTTATCAATAAGACTCAAACAAATAATCTTGGTTAAGTAAAAAATTCTTGATGGATTGCCAATCTCTTCCATTGAGTAATACTCTAACAAATAACCTCGAATAGGTGAAATTTTTTTAATGAATTTCTTTCGACCTCTTCCATAAAAGTTAGCATCATTGAGTAACATTCTAATAGATAATATTATATAGGTTAAACTTCCTTGATTGATTTCTCTCAATATCATATGCCACAGGTTAAAGTTTGTGTTGTCACCTCGTACTAAAAACCTAAGGAAGACAAGACTTCTATAAGAATTCTTCACGACTCTTGTTAGCTTGGAAAAGAAGCTTGGTTAAAATTATAACATCAGTAAAGACCGTCATTAGTATGTTAGAATATCAATCTAATGGACATCCAAAGGGTTAGTTTCCTATGGGGGGCAAAGTTCTAAAAAACTTGAATATCTCTTATGTAGGTTAAGTGTTTAACAATTTTCGACATGAATTCCAAAAACTTGTTTGAAAACATCAATTTAAGCTTTTATATTATAGGATGAAACACATATTTATGGGATATATAAATAAGAAGTATTATTTCAAGGTTACATGTAAAAATATTGAATTTATATGATAAATTCACACTCTTTATCAATATCACCATAGATTTTTTAAAGTTTTATATTGCATCCAAACTCCCGTCTTTTTGCTTTAAAGCTGGCAATCTCTTCTTGCATGAAGTTTGTTGCACTTTTTAAGAAAGTAGCTTCTACCTTGACTGGAACAATTCTAATGATTGCAAGGCCAATGGAGATGCCTGACATCATCAACTTTGACACTCAATGCTACACTCTTTTATATATATATATATATATTTGTGTCAAATTAGAGTAAAAAATTTTATAAGAGTATAAAAATATGTAGGTCTCTAAATTCTATTTCTAACAAAATCAAGTACGTTAGAAAATTCAATTATTTGACTCGTCAATGGATTTTCTTACGGCGATAACACAGTGATTGAGGAATCACTGATTAATAATCTTGTAAGAATTTTGTTCGAAAAAATATTTAGAGAAAAAATTTCAATTTTTTTTGTGAAATACCTAAACATACATGAGAGCTCCTATAAAAATTTTCAACTCATTTTGACAAATATACTAGCTTCAAAAAAATATTGAAATTTATAATCAGCAAAATGACATATTTTATGAAGTTACTGTTCATATGGTTGAGTCATCCTTGTTTAGAAATTCAAATGAAGGACATTGGTCCAATAATCAGTCAATCGGTGATGCAAAGCCATTTTAATGAGAAATAGGTCAAAATGGTTCTCGGATTATTTGTGTGAAGTTTTTTTAGTCCCAAATTATAAATGTGTTCAATTTAGTCCCGTAACTTCTTAAATATGATCCAAAAAATTTGTTAGAATTATTTTGTATCCTATTTGAAGAGTTAGTTTGAATCTTATTTTAGTGTCAAAGGATTAAATTGGACATATTAGTTAGCCTGGGACTAAACCGCCTCCCATAAATAGATCATGCAACATTTTGACCTTTTCTCCTATTTTAACTAAGCATGGTATTTTCTTCCTATCCGCAACTTTAGTCTTCTTTTATTATTATTGCTTGTCTTATCATTTATAATGAAGGATAGAAGATGCATCATAAGTTGGGCAGATGAAATTAATATGAAAATGATTATGACCAAATTTGATATGTTATAAGTTGTGCAAAAATTTTTGTGCAGTATACGATTAACATATCATGAAACACTTTAAAAAAATTTTTTTGTAGAAGATGGCTTCATAAATTTAGTCTCAAATAGTTGAAATAACGCAAATGATAAAGTTGATCTTTTTTTTGTAATAGTTATTTTTCCATTATTCCATTATCATCTCCATTCTCATTCACTTTGAGATTTTGCATGTATTCTTCTTGGAAGCTAATTGGCTCACAAGATCATGGTTTTATCTTTTTCATAATTGTCTTATCTGCTAAAGTATTCCATATGTTTCTCTATTATCAGGTGATATCTGGTCCAGATCCTGTAACTATCCGATCAAAACTGCGAAATGCTCTTCGTCACTCTCCTGAAAAGCAACTGGTAGGAAACCAAGCATTTATCATTTGGTGTATTCTATGTACTAGTAGGAGAACATTAGGAATGCAAATAAAACATTTCCTTTCAATATCTCATAAACAAACACCAAATTGATGGACACTAATATGAGAAATTTATTAGGAAGTTGCATAAAAAAAAATAACAAAACTCATAAACAATAAACTCTCAAAACAATCACGAATGATCACCTCACATGCAAAATACAAACTAGGGAAGGTGCTCAAAGGAAAGGACAAACCAGAGATCCATCACAGAAAGTTATGATCCAGCACAAGTCTATACTCCTCTAGCAAATATCAATAGAACGGGGCACAATAGCACCTTACAACTTACAATATTTAGAGAAGAAAGATACATGTGGAAGGGAAACCGTGGAGAGAAGCAGTAGAAAGAAAACCAAGAGGAATAAATTGGGGTTAGGAAGAAGACAGCTTGCAAGCTAAGAAGAAACCCCCAGATTTTTTTTTTTTTTCACACCATCAACAACTTCTGCACAATGAGATTCAGTCACTATTTATAGGAGAAAGGAGGGAAAGGACATTTATTAACTCTCATAAATGAGCCTACAAAACAACCAATAAGAACCGCCCAACACAGCCCTCCAAGAGAAACCCAAAACATCCTGCATAGGAAACAACAAAGAGAAAACCGAGCAGACATCCAAGAAATCGAGCGGCCAGTAGAGAAACTTTGTAGATGACAGAGAAAACCAACAGACGGCAGATAAAAAACAACAAACAATAAAAATAGAAGACAACAGGGGCAAGGAAGCAAAATCAACACAATAGGAAGGCAATGGAGTGAACTGATCTGAGAGCACCTAATCTAGCATGATCATGGGTTATTTTCCATCATAGATCAATACAAAATAAAATTATATAGCGTCCAAAAACACAAAAAAATATGAAAAAACATAAAATGATAATTCTTGAACACGTCAAATTAATTATAGTCATCATTATTAGCTTATCCTAATTTTATGTAGGTAATTTAAACTAAATGGGTGTTATTATGAAGCCAAGCTCTAGTGCCTGTGGAAATCAACTTTTGTTGGTTGGCTATCATACATGTGCCATTGAAACTATTAAAACGTGTTCATGCTTTAGCATTTTTTACATGTATTTATTATGATCATTATTGATTTTGTTATTTCTCTAGTAGTTATGCTTTGATGTGTATAATTTGCTTTATACAGTATGATCCTGTTATGCTTCATACTTCGTTTGCAAGGATTCTGGGGCACCCTAAAGTTCCATTGGAGGTAACATGCCAAGCACATCTCATTTGTTGTTTGTATTGAGATAATTTTTTATATTTTCACGGATAGGTATAGTTTGCTTTTAGGTAGTGATAATTCGTATATCATTTCTAAGCTGTTATTAATATGTTTAGGAGGGATGTTCATATGCTTCTTCATGATATATTGTATCTCATGAGCTATCCAGATAGATATACCCAATTTATTTCTAGCTCTATTAACACACAAGCATAAATGTACTGCATCTAATATTCTCACTTTTTAAAAGTGTGACCATCTTCACACAGTGATGTTTGCATTCTCCATGGACATCCTCAAGAACATGTGATTAAAACTCGGGTCCTATCATTATCTTTGATTTTAATATAGAAATTATTTGTAATAGTTGCGGATTGAAGAACTTTTTTTGAAACTCATAGAATTATGGAAATGTGCCAAAATTGATAGAGCTTTATCATCTCTAACTTGGCTAGTAAAAATCTCATCATTTCAACCTTCAAGTTTAATGTTAGCATGAATACTAATACAATTTAAAAGACAACACTCCGGTGTATGACTATCAATTTTAACCTCTCTACCTTCTGATCACATATTATCTCCTTTTCCATCTTGTATTATAACTATTCAGCTCGACCACCTTCATTAGATTGTTGGATCATTTTTCATCACTTTAAATTTCTTTCAAAAAAACTTAAATTCTTTGGGTAAAGTTCCGCAAATATGATAGTAGAATTTAAACAAATCACTTCGATTTCTGAACACAAAAAACCTGCCCAAATCTTTCTTGGGATTAATATTTTCTGCTTTCCACCTTCATATATTTTCCTATCTTGGTTCTTAACTAAAGTTCAATTTCTACGAAATTTATAAGTTATAAAAAACCCCTCATTCACATCCTCTATCAAATCCATTCTCAACAATGAATCAGAGAAAGTCTGCATAGGCTAGGAAGAATTTCAAGCATGTTGAAAAAAATTAGTTAAATTCAACTAGGGAAATTCATAGTAACGGTTCTAAAGCTAGAGGTATAACACAAATGCTCTTGATAATTATCAGCAATATGTTGTGGCAGCAAACAGAACAATGCTTTTACAGTTTCCATGAGTAAATATAAGACTAACTTTGAAGATTTTAGTTGTTATGTAGATAAGTAAAATAGAAATATTTTTTAAATTAATGAACATCTCTGCAAAGTAAAAAAGCCTTCGTAGGAGATGAGTAGAGAGAGAGGGTTGTTGGAGAATGCTCTTGCTAGGGGAAAAGTAAAACATGCAACGAAACAAATAAGAAATAGAAAATGTAGCGGAAAAGAAAGAACACTAGGATTTAACGTGAAAAAATTCAAAACCGGAAAAAAACCACGAAGCCATACTACATCAAGAAATTCATTATGAAAAATTGGGATAAATAGTACAGATCTCTTCTTTCTCACTCTCTCCTTACTTCTCTTCTCTCTTTGTTCACACACTATATTATACAAAGAGATACAATAGAAACCACCAAGGGACACAACCCTTAATGACAAATGAGAAAGAAAACTGTCCATTTGGTCTCGTAGCTCTGCGACGCAAGTTGGAGCGCAATGACTCCCCTACTCTGATTTCATCCTGCACAACAACACCACAGTGATGGGTTTGGAATGTTGCAGCTCTCCCTGTCAGCGCCACAACACTTCACTTCTCTGTTTTTATCTATCAAACTATGCAGCACCGGGGCGCTCAAGTGCGCAGCACCGGGGCGCTCAAGTGCGCAGCACCAGGGCGCTCAAGTGCGCAGCACCGGGGCGCTCAAGTGCGCAGCACCGGGGCGCTCAAGTGCTCAGCGCCGAGGCGCTCGGGTGCACAACGTCGGGGCACTTAGGTACACATCGTCGGTGTGCTGTATGGAAAAAAAAAATCTGGGTGCAAAACACCTGAACCCAAGTAAGGGGAGGACTCTCTACAACCCCCTAGTGAACTCAACAAATTGAATCAATGTCTGAGGCAACAGTACGATCTTATTTATCAACACAATCAGATTCCACACTAAACTAACAATCTCCCACACTGTGATCATCAATAAAAGTGACAAAATCGAGATAACCTCCTATAAAAAAAATTGGTGCAGGATCCCATACATTACTGTGCACCAACTCCAGCTTCTTTAACTTCTAAAATAGTTTTAAAAAATCTCACCTTTTTTTGCTTGTCATATCCACAATCTTAAAAAAAAAATCTAGATTTATAAATTTTAAACGATGAAGCTTTCCTCTAGTAAGAATGGAATGCATAAATTTCTTACTCATATGACCAAGCATTTGTTGCTAAAGACCTCCATCAATATTTGAATCAGTTACTCAATAGAATCTGATCTTTTGTTGATAACATATGTGGTGCCATCAATACTGCCATGAGTTATAACTATAGCCCATTTTTTCTTCTTCAACAATTTTTTTTTGTAAATCATGTCACATGGCTTAAGTTTGCAAGCTGACTCATAGAAACTAAGTTCCTCTTTAGGCAAGGAACATGCCTAACATACTTGAGTCTCCAAGTTGACTCATCTAACATTTTGATATCAACATGTCCCTGTCCTACAATGCCGCAAGACTTGTTTTTTTCCCACATGCACTTTGCCCAAATCGCCTTCTATGTAGTTCTTGAACACCTGGTTAGAATTTGCATGAAATGAAACACCTAAATCTATAATCCAAGTGTTAGCTAGAGAAAAAATCAGAGGATTTGACTGAAACTCTTCTGCAAATATATTTGCAAAGTGATTTGTCTTGACCTCCACCACTAGCCTTCTTTGGAACAATACAATCATTCTTTAAGCAACCCTTATTTCCATAATTCCAGCACACAACTTTCACTCTACCTGAAGTAGACTTTCCTCTCTTTGATTTAGATCTCCCTCTACATAAATTTCTCTCTAAACTCCTTCCTCTTGCTTCAACATTTAGAGCAGAATTTGAAGATTCACCTTTCGCCTTCTTGTGAACCTCTTCATTAAGCACTAACACCATAATATCTTAAAAGTTCAACTTTGAACTTCCTAAAGAGTTACTAGTAGCAGGAACCAATCCATCCCAGCTATTTGGCAATGAAGATAACAATAATAATGTTCTCACCTTATCATTAAACTTGATGCCAACTGAACACAATTAACTCATCACATTGTTCAAATTATTTCAGGTGTTCTGCCATTGCAGTGTTGTCTTACATATTCATATTAAATAATTTCTTCATCAAGAACACTTTGTTTGAGGGCTTACATCTTAGTAACAGCAGCCATGAGATCGACTGTAGTTTTTTTTTTTTTCATTTGCAATGTTTGAATGGAAAAGATGAGGAAAGTCAAAGTCAAATTAAATCTAGTGCAGTCCGATCAAATACCTTCAACTCCTCCATAGTCATTGGTGATTTCTCCAACGGTAAATATAACAATTTATTCTGATACAACAAATCTTCAATTTTCATCTTTCAGAAAACAAAGTTGGAATTGTTAAACTTTACAATCTTGTATCTTGCTTCATCAGTCATTACTCTCACTCAAACTGAAGAACGTATCTTTGATACCCGTTGTTAAGGGATAAGTAAAACATGTAACGAAACAAACAAGAAGTAGAAAATGCAGTAAAAAAGAAAGATCACTAGGATTTAACATGGAAAAATCCGAAACAAGGAAAAAACCACTAAGCCACATCACACCAAGAAATTCAATATGAAAATTTGGGAGAAATAATATATCTCTCTTCTTTCTCACTCTCTGCTTGCTTCTCTTCTTTCTTACTCTGTTTACACACTAGAACATACAAATATATACAATAGAAAAAACCCCTAAGGGACACATCCCTTAATGAAAAATAAGAAAAAAAATTGTCCGACCGGCCTCGCAGCACTGTAGCTCCAAGTTGGAGTGTTGCGGCACTCCCACTCTCTAATTGCAGCCTGCACTACAGCACCGCAACACCGGGTCTAGAACACTGCAATGCCCCCTGTCAGCGCCGAGGTTTGTAGCGACGTAATACTCTGCTTCTCTATCTTTTTTCAACAAAAATGTGCAGCGTCAAGGTGCTCGGGTACACAGCGCCGGGGCGCTGTATAGGAAAAAAATTCGGGGTGAGGACCCCAGCGAGCTCAATAGACTGAATTGAGGTCCAAAGCAACAATATAATCCGATTGATCAACATAATCAGATTCCAGACAGAACTTGTGACTCTTAATTTTAAGATTAGTTTGGGGCTCGATCGAAAATGCGGGAGAGAACTCTGTGAGGTGAGCTACCTCTTTAGGGAGTTTGGGGAAATTGAACAGGGATGGTGATAGGTAATGGGTGGTAAAATTGAAGTGTTAGAATTATTTTAAATTTTGTCTAAGTAAATATTCACATAAAATGGCGGCCTTTTGATGATCCGGTTAGGAAAGTAGAGGTATTAGATTTGACTTATGTTAAGAAAGGTAGAGATACACCTAAATAGACTTGATTAGAAAATATTAGAAATGATCTTTTTTTATTAGATTTAAACGAGAATTTGGCTTTTAACAAGGCATGATGAAGAAAAAAGATTCATGTAGCCGATCCCACGTAGTGGGACAAAGGCTTGATGTTATTGTTGTTGTTTGTCTAAGTAAATATTAAATTTTAGATATTTAGATATGCAAATAGTGGAGTATTTAGTGGTATGTATTTAAATCCATCTGTTTTTTGTTCTAACTTCATTCAACCTGCTTTGGAAAATTGTTTTGTTTGTATATAGTCATTTGGAAGCATTTCAATCCCTCGATCTGTCTGTATGCAGAAGAGAATTTATCTGAACAATTATCTTCGATATATTTTTGTTTGAATCATTATTTTTCTGATTAAATAACAGGACATGAAGAACTCTTCTGATCTACTCAAGTTCTTTCATGAGCTCGTTGAACGTGTCAACAGTAAGATCCGTGGATTTGAGGTATTGTCCATTGCATATCTCAATTCCTATATGCAAAAAAAATTGGAACTTCTCCTTCTTGATTATATCCTTGCTTTTGTTAATTGTCGTTTCCCATTAATGGTAAATGGCACCAAAGGACATCTAATATGTACCAAATGAAGCAATTCCAATATATCTTAAATATTTAATAATTTTATAATTCCAATATATCTTAAGAATATTTATGCACATAAATCATAAACCTTTCTTATTTATAAAATTAACTTCTATATCATTTTATTTTTGGGAATTTGACAGAAGTGAAAAAAAAAGTTGAAATTTTATTGTGAATTTGAATATTTGAGTAAGAATTTTAAAAATTGACCTAGGAGAGTTTTAGTTTTATAAGTAGTCAATATTCGATTGTTATGTATAAAATTACTCGTTCATGAGCGGCGGAGTTAAGTCGTGACTAGCTCAAACCTGACAAGCTAGTTTGGACTAATCAAAATTGTCGTGAAACTTGAGCAGGCTCACAGATTGGCTTGACATACATATCCACCATATTGAAATTGTCGTTGTTCTTCTTTTTTTCTGACATTTTAGCCGTTAAGTCAAACTCATACACATCAGATAAGTAAGCTTTGAACTCAGGACTTTTAAGATTAGTAAGATTAGTAGTTAAAGCCTTCAATCGACAGACTGAGATGAGTTATGTTGTGATTGATCGTATAAATAATTTAATTATTAATATCCAGGCAACTATTTCTGAGCTTTGGTATGTGGAGGAATATGATGTGCTTGCTCTTGCACTGGACGGGAGAATAAAGGTACGTAAGTTCCCCCTTGGTTGTTCAAGCCATTGATAACTCTTTGAAATAACATTACCCCCAACTGTTATTCTTTTCATTTGTTTTCTTTTCTATTTTCCAATATTTATGGTGACTGTTTTAGAAACTTTTCTTCCCCAATATATGTGAAGGTGGTTCCAAACTTTAGAATGCACGAAATTTGGGTCAGAATATTATTGTAGTTAAAATTTAGTTAAGATAATTTTAGAAGTATCAAAATTATTTTGTTATGAGTACAATAGTGAGTAATTAGTTATTTTTGTATTGTATTTATTTTAAAATAAATTAGTAATTTTAAATTTCATCTTAATTAAATTTTATGAGGATATTCTAATCTTATTTTTTCCCTTTATAAAAAAAGAAAAAATTGGGCCAATATATCTTGTTTAAAATCAGGTTAAATTGAATTTTAAAGTTTTTAAATTTATTTTTAGATGTTTAATATCTAAGTATTTGATTAAATTTTGTATTATCTTTGTTTTAAAATAAATTTACTAATTTTTAGACTCACGATGACTAAATTTGATGATATTTGTACAAAAATTTTTCCTTAAGAGAAGAGTGTCTTTCACTATTTTGAGAAGAATTGGAAAAAGTATATTAGTATATTTAAATTAAAATTTAATAGAGAATTTTTGAATTTTCTGATAGTACAATATATAAAAATTATTTATTTTATCTCAAAATAAAATAAAAAATTTTAAAATTATCTCCATCAAATTTTTATTCGGAAGAACTGACGTGAGTCAAGCTTGTGGAGCACGCGCGCGCTTCCGGCAGTGGAACGTGTCCTCCACGTACGCGCGCTCGCGGTCACAGCCGCAGCCACACTACAGTGCTTCCGCTGTCTCTCTCTCTTCCAAGTCATTTTGGCCGTTTATGTAGCGCGCCGGGAGGTGAAGATCCGGTTCAATTTTTTTAAATGGATCATGATCTCATCTTAAACCGAACTGACCTATCATTGCCTTTATTTTTTTATTTTGGATTATGATTGAAAATATAAGATTTTTTTATTTTTGATGTTCGGAATTATTCACATGTATTTTGATTATATGATCCATTGTGCGTTTATGGAAAAATATGGATTCGGATATTCTCATTAAATTTTTTAATGAAAATG